AATTACTAACTTGGTGGTTTCTGCTCTCTGCTTAGCTGCCTGTCAAGTAGGAGGCACTCTTGATAATTTAAGGGTTGGAATTTAGTCTATTTTTGCCATTGAAAAATCAGCCTGGAGCCAGAGTTTCCCTTTTATTTGGGAAGGCGAAACAGACGGCACATCAAAGGCGGTCGAGCTGTAATTTCATCTTTTCTGATACACTCAGGGCAGGCCTCTGCACACTGGCTGCTCCACGCCACTGGCAGTCTCTACTGGACTGTCAATGCAAAGTCTGGTGCTTTCCTGTGAACAGCTTTTGTCTTTCTGTGTCCAGCTTTGTCTAAAAGATCACCCAGTCCTGTTTGGTGGCCTTACTTAAAGGCAGCTTGGGGAGTTCCCAAAGGACGTGGGGGGTGGGCGAGGGAACCTGGGTTCTCCACAGTCTCTGAGATCCGTGATTAAATGCTTGCCTATGATGATTTCGGCTGCACGTACAGCTTCTACAACATGCATGCATTCCCCCAGACCAGCATTTACACGGTACCCCACACAAGTGTGTGGTACCTCATCGACATGCAGGGTGTCTTATCAGGGAACATGCAGTCTAACGAGAAAACCTAGAGGGAAAGATACCATCTCGGTCCATAAAACCCCTGCAACCAAAGTGTGAAGAAAGTGAACCAGGAGTGTGGGGGAAAAGCAAGCGTAGGTCAGCTGGAAAGATGCTGGAGAATTACTAGGACTTAGGAAGTGGTGGGTCTTCAAGAGGAAGTGTATTCGAAAGGCCTGCGACAGGGGCTAGAGAGAGGGCCAACTGCCCTTCCAGAGGACCCAGATTCACTTCCCAGCACCTACATGGCAGCTCACAACTGTCTATAATTCTAGTTCCAGGGGACCCGACACCCGTGGCAAAATACCAATGTACATTAAATAAAAACAAATAATTAAAAAGAAAAGGCTGGTGACAGCTTAAAGGGACAGGAAAATGAAAGCCCAGAAGCTACAGGCTCTGTAGAGGAAGGTGGCTGTGGAGAGAGAAAAGACAGGAGCTCTGAGGGAAGACAGGAGGGCAAATGGGAGGAGAGCGAGGTTTGACCTGTTGTTAGGAACAGCTGAAGTCACTTGCTGGGAAAAGCACAATAGGAATGACCGCATGAGGCTGGGGATGTGGCTTGGTGTTAGGGAACCTGGCTAACAGGCAGAAACCTCTGGGTTTGAGTTAGCACACGGGGAAAAGAAAAGGAAACACTAGTATTAGCTAACAAAACAGTTAGCTCCATCTCTAGATTGGGAGCATTTGCAACTTAAATCTGTGATATGTAGAGCTGGTACATCACTTGTCAAAGACAAGTTGTCTAAGCGGAGGTGGGGATTTGAAAGTGATCTATGGAGTCCTTGTCCATCCCTTCAGGTCACGCCACTTTGCCGGGGATGAGCAGTTATCAGCTATCCAGCGAGCTGCTGGATAAGGGCACACTCCGCAAACTGCAAAGCACTCCGTAAATGTAGTCACTGATAGCAGCTTTTGGCCAGGTCTCCTAACCAGAAGGTCATTCCTCTTTGACCCTTGACAGTAAAACCATGAGCCTTTCTTCCCAGGCTCAGAGTCGCAAGCAAGAAAAAAAAAAAAAGAAAAGAAAAGCTGTGGGAGACAGAAATCACTCTCGGGATGAAAGGAAAGGAAGTCTGGGCTTTCATGGGTCACACAGAGAGATGGACGGATGTGAGAATCAGCCTAGCCTGTCCTGAAAGCTTAGGCTGTGCTGGCACCTGCTGGCATGCAGGGTAGCTATGCCAGCTTCACTTTATCCAGTAATTCTCCCGTTTAGAACGAGTGCCCTCGGATAGTCGAGTGTGTGGATGGCTGGATCAGGGTTGGAGGCTCTGTCTCTGTGAATCTTCTATGATCTGAGGTGCTATAATGTGTCTCTGGAATAACCCCCAGCCTAGAGTTTCCTCACAGTAACCGCTCACTGAGACCTTCCTGTGGGCATGCGCAGCTCCGAGGGTCTCCTACGCCTTCCTCAGAAACAGGACCTCAAACGCTTCTGCAACAGCCTCCTTATTTTAGAGCTGCAGATAGCTTGGGGACCTTGATCTGACCAGGATCATGCGACTGGCCTTAAGGTTAAATGAGAACCCTAATTAAGGACCAAAACGCAGCTTGGTTTATAGTCTTTTATAGTAGTACCAGGTTGTTTTCAAGTCCGAAGCCTAATTCACCTATGTGCTACATCTGTGATCCCCACAGAGGGTTTTTCCCCATTGGTTGATTGATGGGTGCTGCACTCTTTTGTGTCCTCCAAACTTAATATTGGAAAACTGGTCTTCAGTGGGAGTAGTATTGGAATTGAGTAGGCGGGTAAGGAAGATTAGTGCGCTTCTTTAAAGATTGGGTTAATTACCAAAGGAGTAGGTTATTAAACGCTAAGCACACCCCAGCCCCTCCCACCATCTCTCCACCATGATCCCACTGGCCGTCAGTTCTCCACAGTGTTTAACACAGCCCTAGGCCCTCACCAGAAACGAGCAAATGTTCATGCTATGCTCTTGTTACTTTACCAATTTCCCAGTCTCAGACGCCCCGTTAAACAGCAGCGAACAAAGTGCCTCGTTTTAGAAAAGGCTTACCGCCGCCGCCTTAAACAGTACTGGTGGCTGGTGCCTCTAATCCCAGCACTCAGGAGCTGGAGGCAGGTGGATGACTATGAGTTTGAGGACAGCCTGGTCTACATAACTTGTTTCAAACCAGCCAAGGCTACACATAGAGACTCCATTTCAAAGACAACAACATCCTTTTCCCAGTCTAGGGAGAAACTTCTCCTACAGGGTTTGCGGAGAGCGTGGGTGGGGAGCATCGGACTGAAAACATAAAGAACAAAGACAACCTCTAAAGAACTTGGGTCCTCATAAATCATGTCTGAGAAGTCTCAAGTGTGGCCGGAGAGGCGGGTCAGCGATGACAGTGCTGCCATCCTGGCAAAGGTCTGGAATCTTGTTCCAGCTCTCAAACTGCTACTGGCTCCACAGGACCTGACTCCCTCTTCTGGCCACCAACCGCAGCAGTTTCCCTCTTAAAAAAAAATTCTGAAGTTTCCACTGAAAGGTTTTCTAAACGTACAGGCATGGAGACCTCTGGCCTAGGTCACTTGTCGGTTAGTGTTCACACCCGGGGGACTCTACCAGGAGCACATCCAGTCAAAGATCGCAATAACTCATTTTCTAGACCTCTGCCGTAATTTAACATCAAAAGCTAAATATACTAAGTTGAATCATGTAAAACTGCCAATATTTGACTCTCTTGACTTGCAAACCTTGAAAGGATTCCACAGAACTTAGGCAGTGTGTTTAGTAAGTAACTGGACAAGTGGGGGGGGGGGGGGGCGACATCAGCAGGCAAGCATCTGAGAACCTTTTGAATGATGTTGAATTCTGAGTCCCGGGTCCTCCTTGATTCCACATTGGACTTGGGGTGAAATGCTATGCTACAAGAGCTGCCTTTTAAGAGGCATCTCAAATATTCCAGGGCAGGGAGATTGTGAACTCCACGGGACCCCTCTCGGCCCAACCATTTTCGTCTCCCAAGTCCCCAGAAGACATGCTGCTTGCTGTCTCATAGCATCTTTCTGTAAAGGGGACACTCTGCAGACTCCTATTGCGACAGTCAGCAAGTGCCCGCAGAGACACCACTTGAAACGCCACCGCTATCACTTTCTAGAGCCCTACAAAACCCTCCCAGGGCCAACCTTCTGTAGATGACCCATCTCCGCTGGTCGTATCATTTGTTTTCGTCTGCTTTGCCTCACGTTAATGAGTATGGGGGGCACTTGGATGGATGGCTTTCTGAGCAGCCCCATGCGGGCAGCGTGCCCAGCCCCCGTCCTCTCAGGCACAGAGAAGAGGCTCCACTTGGCGGTTGAGAGGCTATTTATAAGCATGGCCGGCTTGCCTATCTCAGATCCAAACCAAAGCCTCCATGTTTCCGCAGTGCTTGTTTCCCTGCAGACTGGTAACGTTTACACAGAAATGGGTCTCCTCGGCTAGCCTGTCATTTGGATTGTTTGCTTTTCCCTTTTGGACTTCTTTGATGCTGCTGAAGAAAGAAGTCCACAGGAATCTGGAGAGAGGAAGAGAGTGGGCTGCAAGGCGGTGTGTGTGTGTGTGTGTGTGTGTGTATCAGCCATGTGGTCCGCTGTCCTGTCTCTTAGCCCCCACTACGGCTTCCTTAGCTGAACTAAGCTGTCTCCTTTTCTCTTTTTCGTTCTAATTTTAATGGCCAGAATGTTAATTTCTTGGTACCGTTCCATAGGACTCTATTTATTACTTCCCATTTATTTCCATATTTTTTGCAGTGTGTGTGTGTGTGTGTGTGTGTGTGTTTGTGCAATGCGCACATACACATGGCAAAGTGGGTGGGGTATGTGAGGTCCAAGGGAAACTTGCAGTTGGTTCTCTCCGTCCACATTATAGGTCCAGGGCTTGAACGTGGGTCGTCAGACTTGACAAGCACCTTACCTGATGAACCTTCTCCCCACCCTGCCTCCATTCATTTAAAAGGGAAATTTTCTCTATATCCATTTCTATTAGTGAAATTACATTGATCTGTCCTCTACCAAGGGTCTGAGTCCATCCAGTGAGTTTTTAAAGTTTGCATGTCATATCTTCCTATCTTATAATTTACTCGCTTTTATAATTTTATCATCTGTATTTGCGTATTCATGTGTATTTGCGCTTATGTGGTGTTGCTAACGTGTGCATGTGCCTTCCTTTCTGGAAAGAATCGTTGCCACAGCAGTTTTAAGACAGTCCGGCATCCATCTTGTCTCGTCTCCCTTTTGACGACTGTACTGACCCACTTACGGACACTCAAGAAGAGGGCAGTTAACTCTAAACTCAACCTGTCCCCACCCGCTATCGGATTCGATCAAGAACTCCAGACCAGACACGACCGTTATAGGTTAAACTTTAATGTGAAATTCTGTAAAGGTAAAGAGTCTCCCTCCCAGGGGGTGAGGCTCTGCTCTCCAGCTCTTGCCGGTGGGGCCCGCCCCTTAGCATTTGCTGTAGATGGCTGCGCAGCCGCGCTCCTCAAACTCTTCCTTGCTGACCCAAAGCTGCTGGAAGGCCTGCAACGAGGCCAGGATGGAGCCGCCGGTCCACACTGACGTCTTCCTCTCGGGAGCAGCGGCCACCGTGGGGCTGTCCCCGGGGCAGAGGAGACTCAGCTCCCTCTGGAAACGCTCAGGGAAGCCGTCCAGCATGGTACAGCCACCGCACAGCAGCACGTTAGCAGCCATCTCCTCCTTGAAGCCAGTATTCTGACAGCGGCCCAGGCAGTCAGCCGTGAGCTCCGGGAGGCCCGGCTGGGTGCAGCCCACCAGGGAGGGCTTGAAGAGCATCTCGGAGCAGCGGAAGCGCTCCTGGCCGATGGTGATGACCTTGCCGTCCGGGAGCTCGTAGTCTACGCGCAGCTCCTCGGGGCTCAGGCTCATCTCCTCCTCTGGCAGCAGCGCGGCATAGCAGCACTTCTTCTTGATGTGTTCGACGATGTGCAGGTGATCATCCGAGAACTGGTGACCTGCTTCATTGAGCAGCTGCATGAGGTAGTTGGTGAGGTCGCAGCCGGCATAGTCTGCACGGCAGGGCAGGCCCGGCAGCAGGTCCCCCTCGGAGATGGGTACCACATGCGACACACCATGCCCGCTCTCAACCACCAGCCCGGAGGTCTTGCCGTATGAGTAGATGGACAGAAGCGCCTGGGAGGTCACGTGCATGGCTGGGATGCGGAAGGTCTCAAACATGAGCTCCGCATACTTTTCCCGGTTGCTGATGGGGCTGAGCGGAGGGTCGGACACCAGCACCGCGTGCTCTTCCGGAAGGATCTTCATGGCAGTGTGGAAGATGTACTCCCAGATGTTCTGGATACAATCCCAGTCCACCACGACGCCGTGCTTCAGTGGGTTAACCAGCTTCAGAGATGCCTCCATGTTGAGCAGCTCATGGCCCACGTATGTCTCCTTGAAGGTGTCTCCAGCGTCCGCTGCCATCTCGGCGCTGCGCTTGCCCACCGTAGAGGAGATGAAGTAGGTGGGCCTCTGCTCTCCCGCATAGCCGCACTTACAGTACTGGGAGCCCAGGTCAATGACCAGCGCCTTGATCTTGCGTATTTGCTTGGGCTTCATCTTCAGTTGAGTGGACCCTGTGTCCCGGATGCCAGCCTCAGGGACTGGCAGTGTTCCTGCCTCTCCAGGGTCGCCCTGGGCTGTGCCCATGGGCTTTGGGCTAGGGTTGTTCTTTGTCGCCATCTGCCTCCCTTCCACACCTTCTTACATCCACAGCTCCCTGGGGAGAAATGAGAGTCCACCTCCAACCGTGCCTGGGCAACCACTTAGCGTTGTGATGTCACCAGGGACGGTCCATTTAGATAGGGGGGAGCTTGCTCCTTTCACCCTCCACACACCTTCCTAACTGGTTTGCTCCAGGACAGAGCTAATGACCAGCAGCTCTAGAACCTCTCTGCTCCTTCTCACATCTCCATGTCTGGCCATTCAGAGGTGATCCATTTATTTCTTTCCTCCTCTGCTCCTTGGCACTGATAATTTGGGCCCCTAGAGAAAACCAGGCACAGTACTGGGTTTTTCCTGTGCTACTTTGCAGAATCTTAGGGGCTGGGCAGAGCTGTACAGAGGTTCAGAATTCAAGAGCAGTTTTTGAGAGTGATAGACGTCCATCTAACACCAATTAACCAGGTCTCCTAGAGACCTTGAACGCTGCTTCCGTTTTAGACACAAAGCTCAAGGCCTATACCTGGCCTCCTCTTTCATTTCACAAGCACAGGAGTATTCTCTAGTAAAGCTAGCAGCACTTCGTACTTTTCTTCTCACCCCTGAGACCAAGAGGACCTGCCACCACCTCCACGAAGGAAGGACCCCATCACCAGAGTGGCTGTCTCACATCTAAGATAGAGCCGAGGGTAAGGTCAAAGATGAGGCCTGCATAAGGTTAGATCCTGGGTTCTGCACTTGGTGTAGAGGTTCAGAATCCAAGAGCGATCAGTTTTTAAGAGGGATAATACTTCAACCAAAGTTCACCTAACACCAACTAACCGGGTCTCCTAACGACCTCAGCGCTGTGGGGGGTAGGAATCAGTATGTCCAGCTGAGGAGGCAGATGGCCAAGCAGCCTCAGAAATGCATGCTAGGTGTCAAGGCATGTATGCGGTACATGTTGGGGGGGGGGCTGTGTATTCCTACTGGATATCCTTGGGGAAGTTGTGTACTTGAGCCTTAATGTTTGCACTGGGGGGACTCAGTCAGGTCATATTTCAATGCACATGCTGTGACCCTGATAAAGGAGCACAAGTCTATGTTCAAAACGAATTCCTCGTAGGGTTATCTACCTTAGACCCCCAAATTAGGCAGGAGGGCTGTCCAATCATCACAGCGGCAGTAGCTCCTGGGAAAAGCTCAGATGGTGTCCATTTGTTCAAATTTCTCTAGTCCCTTCTAGCCCTGGTCACCCACAAGTCCCTGCAATGGCCCATGGCCTGATGGGACTGGTTGGTCCTCCACTACCACCAGCCTCCCTTCTCCCACCCACGCTCTACATTTCCAGACTCTTCCCCCTGGTTACATTGGTGTTCTTGCAGCTTCTCTCAGTGGAGCTCAGCAAACTTCTGTAAGGGGACGGTCACATTTATTTCCCCTCAGCTTTTGGCCCAGTCTTTGTGATGCTGATTCAACTGTTTTTTTTATTTTTGTTTTCTTTTTAATGACCCAGGCAATCCATAAGTGAATGAGTACGGCTGCTGCAGTAAATTCATATACCGCCACAGGCTGGATCCGGCACCCTGCTGGCCCCTTCACTAACTCCCCAGTCATGTGACTTAGTCCCCTGTACCAATTGCACTCCTGTCACTAGGTCACTTCCTTCAGCTCCTTACACAACTGCTGTCAGCTCAGGGAGCCTTTGCCTGAACCACATCAGCACGGCCACCCTCTCTCTGTCCTCTGATTTTTCTCTAAAAACTTCTAAATTTTATTTTTTTGTTCAACAGACATTTTGTGTCTTTCCCCGCAGCATACACCAACTCGAATATGGACCAGATAAGGGCAGGACTCTGTCGCTGCTTCTTCATGGCATGTTACAGGCACTCAACAAATGAACTGAACAAATTAATCAAGCTTTACTACAAAAGATAATATCTCCAATGTACCTAAACAAGGTCTCCAGTGTCTAGACAGTCTCTGGTCGCTGGATTATGTCATAATCAGTGATGTCACTGTTGGGCAGATTCTTAAGCCGTCCTCTGATTTGAGCCTTTCAGGCCTCGTACCCAGCAGGATCAAAAGCTTTCTGAGAGCAGTATGTCTCTGGACAGCGTGTGGGCTCCAGAGGCAGCAGACATGGGGGATGGGCCGCCTGCCAAGAAAGCTGCCAACCAGGGCTCCATGCAGACACAGGTCCTCCAGACTGCCTCCCTAAAGGATGGCCCAGCAAAGAGGGCAGTATGGGTCCGTCGAGAGATTGCCGAGACAGAAGACCCTGAGAAGTCAACTGCTCCCAAGGACAGGTCCAAGTTAGAGGTGACCAAAGCAGTGGTCGTGGATCTCGGCACCGGCTTCTGTAAATGTGGCTTTGCTGGCCTGCCAAAGCCCACTCACAAGATCTCAACAACAGTGGGCAAGCCCTACATGGAGACAGCCAAGACTGGGGATAATCGCAAAGAGACCTTCGTGGGGCATGAGCTCCTTAACCCAGACATACAGCTCAAGCTGGTCAACCCCCTGCGTCATGGCATCATCGTGGACTGGGACACAGTGCAGGACATCTGGGAATATCTCTTCCGACAAGAGATGAAGATCGCCCCGGAGGAGCATGCAGTCCTGGTCTCGGACCCACCCCTGAGCCCTCACACCAACAGAGAGAAGTATGCTGAGATGTTGTTTGAGACCTTCAACACACCTGCGATGCACATTGCCTACCAGTCCCGCCTGTCCATGTACTCGTACGGACGCACGTCCGGGCTGGTGGTGGAGGTGGGCCACGGCGTGTCCTATGTGGTACCCATCTATGAGGGTTATCCTTTGCCTAGTATCACGGGGCGGCTAGACTATGCAGGATCTGACCTGACGGCCTACCTGATGAGCTTGATGAACAACTCTGGAAAACACTTCACAGAGGACCACACCAGTATTGTGGAGGACATCAAGACAAGATGCTGCTTCGTGGCCCTGGACCCCATCGAAGAGAAGAAAATCCCTCCCAGTGAACATGAGATCCAATATACTCTGCCTGATGGGAAAGAGATCCGTCTGGGCCAGGAGAGGTTCCTCTGCTCGGAGATGTTCTTCAAGCCGTCGCTAATCAAATCCATGCAGCTGGGCCTCCACACCCAGACGGTGTCCTGCCTTAACAAATGTGACATCGCACTCAAGCGAGACCTCATGGGGAACATCCTGCTCTGTGGGGGCAGCACTATGCTCAGGGGCTTCCCTAACCGCCTGCAGAAGGAACTGAGCAGCATGTGCCCCAATGATACCCCACAGGTCAATGTTCTGCCTGAGAGAGACACCGCAGTGTGGACTGGTGGCTCTATCCTAGCCTCGCTCCAGGGTTTCCAACCACTGTGGGTTCACCGCTTTGAGTACGAGGAGCATGGGCCTTTCTTCCTCTACAGAAGGTGCTTCTGAACTGATGGCGGCGTGGCCACTGTGGTGAGAGTGTGTCAGCTTTACTGCGTGAGGGAACACCTTTCTACATATGGTGTGTGAGCTGGCATGTTCATTCCTGTAGCATTAAAGACCCCTCGTGTCCCCTTCCCTTCACAGCACGCCTTTTTCCTGACGGAGTAAGAGCCACACAGATGTGTCCTTGCCTTAAATGATACAAACACCTGGGAGTGGAGCGGGGCTATGAGATTCAGACATGCACTATGCTGACTGCTCAGTTTCTCTTGGAAGAAACTTGTTCTAACATTACGCTTCCCACTGTAGGAACTACTCTGCTGTTAAAACATGCTTAAGGAAAAATGTGATAAAAAAGAAAAAACGGGTTAAGAGTAAATGCTGTTAAAGGTTACAAGGGGATCCTCATCCACAACCCCCCCAAGAATGCTGAATAAGTCCAGTCTCCCACAAAAACAGTACCGTATTTCCCATCTGACAGCAAACTCAGAATATGTTGGCAATCTACCTTGTTTTAACTACCCTGTCTTAACTGTACCTCTTTTTTACTCACCAGTATGTCTCAAAACTGGTTCATAGAAAGCCACCAGGGTTACTGGCCGTGAAGACTTGTATCATTCCCTTAGCACTACGGATGGACGCTACAATAGAAGTACCATTCAGGTCTCGAAACCCAGTAGACAGGCAGGAACACCTGCCAAAACCAGGACAAAGACCTAATCCATAAAATAAAAGTCCATAGTTATGGCAAAGTCCCTAACTGTACTAACTTGTTTTGGCTTCTGTAGTCCCCTTCTGGCTAACTGTCCTTGCTGAGCTGCGTCAACACAGGATGTAGTTTTGTGCTTAAAAGAGCATCCTGTCCAGGATCTAACTCTAATGCATGAACTGACTTGGTAGAGACCATTCTCTATGGAGAGATACCTTGCTCAGCCTAGGCACGGAGGAGGGGGAGGGGGCCTTGAGATGATGGGACAGACTTAGTTGACTTCCCAGGAGAGGCCTTATATCTATCTCTGAGTAGATGGAGGGTAGAGTGGAGAGAGGAGCAGGAGGGGGAAAGGAGGGGGGACGACTAGGATTGGTATATAAGAAGTAAATTAAAAAAAAAAAAGTTCACCCTTTTTTAAAAAGACTCAGGACTACACTCGGGTCCCAAACACCCAGCATAGTTGTCAGCTAATGGACTTTCTAGCTTGAATCCACATACAAGTGGGTACCTCACATTTCTGGAGACCCCAGCGGGATTCCCAGAGAACAGACCTTGACACACTGGGGGTCTCAGAGCCCCTTGGAGCAAGGAGTGTGGTAGCCAAGGGAGTTCCAGGGTCCCAGGACCCCCATCTAATCAATTGCTGCCTAATGCCTTGGAGAAATGAGACCTATACCCCAAAAGGGAACAAATTTGAAAGTCACCTGGTCTGTCACCTCCAGAGGTAAGTCTGGTTAAGGTACCTTCTGTTTAAAACATAAAGGAGAGGCCAGCTGCAGATGCGGGCCCAGTGTCTGGAATCCATGCGAGACATCACTGGACTCCCCTGGTCCATTCAGGTCTATGAATGTGTGGTAGCCATCCATGGTTGTCTTTACTGTGTCTGTGTGTTTCTGTTGGTTGGACAAACATTTAACGTGGGAGAGGGAGTGAGCCACCTGGAGACCATGACTACCATCGTCCCTAAGATGTGGCTACAGCAGCAGCTGCAGCAACACCAGTGGAATGAGGCTGGAGACCCCAGCCACCCCAGTTTCCCTATACTGCCCAGTGGCTTTTTCACAGCTGATGGAAAGCAGATACATGTGTCAGGATCTGGTCCCCAGGCAATGCTCCCAATAGCTACAATTGTGACTTTTAGCTCTTAAACAAGAGCCTTCACATCTTACTGGGATTCTTAGTCACACCTGCACCCTGAGCATCTGGAAAACAGGCATCTCTACCATACAGAGGCTCCAAGAGCCATCTGCTCCTGAGCATCTGGAAAACAGGCATCTCTACCATACAGAGGCTCCAAGAGCCATCTGCTCCTGAGCATCTGGGAAACAGGCATCTCTACCATACAGAGGCTCCAAGAGCCATCTGCTCCTGAGCATCTGGAAAACAGGCATCTCTACCATACAGAGGCTCCAAGAGCCATCTGCTCCTGAGCATCTGGGAAACAGGCATCTCTACCATACAGAGCCATTTGCTCAACTCCAGGAAACCCCAGGCCTAAACACTAAAATGTCAATGGAAAGCTGATAGAACCACATTCTTTCACAAAGCATTTTCAATGCTTACCGGATCCACCTGTCCCAGTAAAGACATGCTCCACACAAAAACATCTAAGTTTAGTACTTCAACATCATCTAAATTTAACAGCTGGGGAAAACTTCGCAAGTTTGTTACAACAGGGATGAATTATGTACTACTATTGGTGTGGTTTGAAAGAAAATGGCCCACAAAGGGAGTGGCACTATTAGGAGGTGTGGCCTTGTTGGAGGAAGTGTGTTACTGTGGGGGCAGGCTCTGAGGTCTCTTATGCTTAGGATACTACCCAGTGTGTCAGCCGATGTTCTGGGGTCTCTGTGTCAAGATGTAAGATTCTCAGCTCCAGCACCATGTCTGCCTGCATATGATAATGGACTGAACCTCTGAAACTGTAAGCAAGCCCCCTTCAATTTGTAAGAGTTGCCATGGTCACGATGTCTCTTAAGACAACCATCTAGTGAGTACGAAACTGTCGAAGAATTTTTAAAAAGCCTCTAATTAAAATAAACTGACCTATTTCTAGACTTGACGAGAGAGAGAGAGAGAGAGAGAGAGAGAGAGAGAGAGAGAGAGAGAATATTATTCTTCCAAGCCTTTGGAAACAGGATGAAACGGGTCAGTTAAACACCTTACAGAAAGTAAACTAGTCTGCCTAGACACTGACAAAAATCACTCAGCATAGGAGGCAGGGCCTGGAGAGCAAAGAGTAACCTCCATCCCTGCTACCATACCATGCCTGCTGTCTACCCAAAACTGAAGAGCAGGACCTGTGTCAGCGGATTCCAATCCATCCCACCCGACCATTGATGATGAGTCTAGCAGAGCATACACTGGCGATAAAGCAGTCCCTGTAACAGTGCAGGTAGAGGAGGGTCGCCTCGCAATTAGGGTTTCTATTGCTGTGAAGAGACACCAGAACCACAGCTACCCTTATAAAGGAAAGCATTTAACTGGGACTGACTTAAAGTTCAGAGGTTCCATTATCACCATTGTCACCACGGTGGGAAACATGATCATGACAGGAAGCATGGTAGCATGCAGGCGGAGATGGTACTAGAGAGGTAGCTAAGAGTTCTACATCCAGATCGGCAGACAGTGAGACGCTGGGCCTGGCTTAAGCATCTGAAACCACAAAGCTTGTCCCCAGAGACATGCTCCCTCCAAGGCCACACCTAGTCGAACAAGGCCCTACCCCCTGATAGTGCCTCTCCTGAAGAGCCCATGGGGTCCATTTCATTCACACCACAAGGAGGCTTATAGACCAGTTAAAGCTGGTAGCACATAGCCTGATTGAATGGCACATTTAATTAAGAAAAAATTTTTAAGATTTATTTTGTATGTATGTTTTGGCTGTATGTATATATGTTTGTGTACTACGTGCTTGCCTGGTGCCAAGAGGTCAGAAGAGGGCATTAGATTCCTTGGAACTGAAGTGAACAGTTGTGAACTGCCATGTGGGTGCTGGGATAATTGTTCTTAAGTGCTGAGTCAACTCTCTAGTCCCCAAACACATTTAACTTTTTATTCTGCTTTGAGTAGGGTGGGAAGATGCCAGCTACACAATCACATCTGACTGAATGTTGGCAGCAGTAACAGCCTGTTTTTATACAATACACAATGTCAGCAATGCAAAACAACACAGAAATGGAACTCCACTTTTTTTTTTTTGTTTTCTGTTTTTTTTTTTTTACGAGGTAGAATGAAACATTACTCCCTATCTACACAGGAACTGAGGATCAAATCAATGATGAGCGTTACCACGGTTACAACAGAAACTAGGCCTGGATCTGTGCATGAAAATCTGGACCCTGATTTTCTGCTTCAGAAGCCATGTTCTCAAAGAGCACTAAACACAACAGCAGGTGGGGCTGTTCTGAGATAAGGTCTTGCTGTATCCCACACTGGTCTTGAACTTGCCTTTCTGCCTCAGCTTTTGGCGTTGCTGGGATTATAGGCATGCCCCACCATGCCCAGCTAAAAATAGCATTTAAAAAACAAACTGTAATATGTTGGCTGAAACAAAGTTCTGGCAGTACTTAAAGTAAGAACCAGACTGCTTAGTGCTAAGTCTGGTGCTCACAGCAGCTGTCGGCAGGGCAAAGGCAGGCCATCCCACATCTCAGTTCTCAACAGCCAGGCCTCTAAGGAGCAAGAACTAGAAGCACAATGAGGAGTGAGGGGGCAAATGGTCTTCCCAGTGATGCCTTCTTCCCAGGCCAGTCAGTCCAGCAGGCTCAGCTTCCACAGGCCTCTCAGGTCAATCTTTGGTGGCACACAGATTCCAGCATCTGAAAGCAGGAATGGAAGGGAGGTGATAATAGGTCTGCCACCCTCAACTCTGTAGTGTCAAAGCAAACGCAGCCTGGAGGCCCTGCCCAGAGAAGAGGAAGCGCATCAGGCTGCACACGTGCTCATTAGGTGAGTTAGTATCTGAACAGGGAGAAGTAGTACTGGTGTCTGCTTACTTCTAATTTTTAGATGTGTTTTATGTATGTTTATGTCACACACACACACACATACACACACACACACCTACACCATATGCACACAAGTGCCCTTGGAGACCAGAAGGGACACTGAAATCCCAGGGGACTGTTTTGGATGGCTGTAAGCCACTACAGGTGAACCAGCCTTGGTCCTCTGCAAGAACGAAAATGTTCTTAACCACCAAAAGCCATCTCTCCAGACCTAAAGGGTACATTTTCAAAAAACTGTCAAGTTGCAAACTAGATCTACATTTTACCATATGTGAACATTTTCTCAATTTTAAGAATAAAACATGGCAGTATGTAACAGTGAGTCAAGTGAATGACAGAAAGTAACAGAATTCTATGAACAGATGCTCAGCAAAACTGACTTTAAAAAGTAAAGTAGGAAGTAGTTTCAGGTGCGAATTCTGTATTTTTTTCCTTTAGACTTTAGGAGTCTCTATCTGACTAGGAATCATATATATGAAGCACAGACAAGAAAAATATATATATATAAGGATCCAGGTGGGGGTGTTGCATGCCTTTAATCCCAGCACTTAGGAGGCAGAGGCAGGTGGATCTCTGGGAGTTTGAGGCCAGCCTGGTCTACAAAGTGAGTTCTGGGACAGACAAGATTACACAAAGAAACCCTGTCTTGAAAAACCAACCAACCAAGAAATAAAAAGGTATATAAAACTGTTTCATTATTATTTGCTAGTAATTAAATTTCTAGCAATATATATATATACATATGCACTATTAAAATTATTTTAAAATTTTAACAATGTGAAAAAAATCTTTAAGAGAATTTTTAAACCATGATTTTGCATTTTATACAAACACATGCTTATACACACATAGATTAACTAAAAACTGCCAGATTACA